CCCGGATAATTCGGGCGTCCAGAGCCCCAACTCATCAGGGGTAACTCGGGTCAGGGCTAACTCGGTTTCGTTTTTCGGGAATCCAAACCCGCGGTACCCCGGACCCGAGTTACCCCGGATAACTCGGGCGCCCAAGTCAGGTCGGGCGTGTCCCTCTACAGGGGGAATATCCAAAAATAATCCAAAAATAGTCGGGCACTTTTTTTTTCCAACATGTTTGGCCATTTCGGAGCACTTCTTGGGTATTTGTTTATTTTTCGTCGAAGATCCCCCTGCAGGGGGACGCGCCGGACTTACGAGCAGCGGCATCGGCACCTTATGGTCTCCCCAGGCGCGTTCCCTCGCGCGCTCCCGCGCACGCGCCCTGCCTCCCCCGTGGTGCCCTGCCGCCCCCCAGCCATGACTGCGCGCGGAGCAGAAGTCGGGAGGGAAACAAACACGCAGACACAACGAATCGTCGATTCCCCAGAAAAAACATAGGAACATATGGGAACTGGGGGGGAAGACAGAAGCCCAGAAACTATAGGAGAATATGGGGAATCCTGTCATCTGTGTGCAGTTATTCGTGTGTCCCAGGGCCCCTTGAAGAAGGCGCGATCGGGCTCGGTCTTGGCGTTTTTCGCAAGTGGCACCGAGACCCCCGCGACGCCCCGATGGGGGCACGTCGCGCCGGGGGGGCGTTTGGCCACCTCCAACGTTTGGGGCGTCCGGATTGACTGCAGGATCCTGCAGGGTCCTGCCCGACCAGGGGCCGCAGCTCCCCGAGCTCGAAGGGCCAGCGCTCAGCCCCCCAGGGGGGGGGGTTGGCGGCAGCGCCCCCCGGGCCCCCGTCGGTTGGCGACCTTCAGGAGGGAAAAAAAACAACACAGACACAATGAATCGTCGATCCCTAAGAAAATATGGGAAAATATGGGAATTCGGCGGGAAGACAAAAACCCAGAAAATATGGGAAAATATAGGGGACCTTTTTATTTGTGTGTATTTATTTGTGTGTCCCAGGGCCCCTTCAGACCTGGGCACCCCCCAACTGACGGGGCAGCGATCGGGGGGGCAGAAGTCGGGGCGCACCCCCAATCCAGTTGCATAAGTCGGGCATGTCCCTCTACAGGAGGAATGTTCAGCAACTGCACAGCATTCACTGCGCGGAGTTCCCCATATGTGCATGTATTCGCATGGACCTGTCCGCCGTGAGTGTCTGGGCGCAAGAGAATTAGATTATAGACGGGCTTGAGCGTTGTCGGTCTGGGAGTGAATCGAACTGTGGATGAGTTGGAGTGTGAATGAGTCTCAGCAGTATTAGTGCGCTTCTGTGCACGAGCCTGGTGCCCCCTTGGGCCTCTTGAAACCTCCTGGGGGTTCCTGGGGCCTCCTGGGGCCTCTTGGGGCCTCCTGGGGCTTCTTACGGCTTCCTGTGGCCTCGTGAGGCCTCCTGGGGCCTCGCGTGGCCTCCTGCGGCCTCAAGGAGCCCCATGGAACCTCCTGGGGCCTCGGAGGATTCGCGCCCCAGGAGAGGCCCAATCTATAGGAACATATGTAACATATTTCAGATTGCAGCCACGTGAGAGGGGCAATCTATAGGACCACACGTAAAATACCAAGGACTCATGCCCCAGGGGAGACCCAATCTACAGGAACATACGTAGAACACTTAGCCTTGGATGCATAGGAGAAGAACACTATACACATACATACGTAACACAGAACAGATTCGTGCTCCAAGGGAGGCCCAATCTGTGGGAGGATACGTACAACACATGGGATTGGAGCCACTCCTGTGGCCTTCTGAGGCCTCCTGCTCTTGGGGCCTCTTGGGGCCTCCTGGGGCCTCCTGTGGCCTCCTGGGGCCTCCTCGAGCCTCTTGGGGCATCATGTGGCTTCATGACCCTTCCTGTGGCCTCCTGATGCCTCCTGGGACCTCCTGTGGCCTCCTGGGGTCTCCTCGAGCCTGGCGGAGACTCGTGTTGCATCCTGGAAAGGATCCGCACCCACGAGTCTGGCCTCCAATACAGGCAAACCGATCGAAAGATCCTCAACATCTTGCCCTTTGGGGGGCGAACATCAGCCTCTCGCTCGAGACATCCTCCGAATATGCTCCGACAGTGGAGGAAGTTGGGGCCACAAACAGGCAAACCGTTCGAGACATCCCCGCCATTTTGGCGCGAACGGAGGAGTGCACCACTCCCCCCTGGCGGCTTCCCCTTGGGGGTGATGCAACCCGTGCCTCGCTCGACACATCCTTATGATGTGCTCCGCCATCATCATCATCATCATGATCATCATCATCATCATCATCATCATCATCATCATCATCATCATCATCATCATCATCAACATCAACATCAACATCAACATCATCAACATCATCATCATCATCATCACCATCACCATCACCATCACCATCACAATCACAATCATCAACATCAACATCAACATCAACATCAACATCATCATCGTATCATCATCATCATGATCATCATCATCAGCATCATCATCATGATCATCATCATCAACACCACCATCATCGTCATTATCGTCATCATCACCATCATCATCATCATCATCATCATCATCATCATCATCGCCACCACCATCATCATCATCATCATCACATCATGTAATAACATAGCAATACATGGCATATCATATCGTAACAGCAATTCATTTCAATCCATATCATAGCGTACCATACCATTACATCACCTAACATGCCATATTGTAACCTAACATGCCATAGTACAAGATGTTATAACACAGCCAGGAAGAGTAATCATACATATCATCTCTGTATGATGCTGGGTGAGAGGAGGAGGAGGAGAAGGAGGAGGAAGAGGAGGAGGAGGAGGAGTGTTCCGCCTCGGTGCGGTCGGATATGGGGAACACATAGTTTGGGAGCCCCAACACGCCTTCTATAGTGCTCCAAACGGCCCCGTGATACTGTTCAGATGGACGGGGTTCCGCCCAACTATTATTGATTCCACGATGGCCGCCAAAAATCAGAGGCAAGGTAAAAGGACAAGTTTCCCAATCAGTGTCCTGTGGGGTGCTCTCCACAACATCCGCATACGTCGCTAAGACGGAGGCGCTCAGAACCCACCAACAGTGGCTACCCGGGCCTTGGGACCCCCCAGACAGTCTGGAGTCCAACCAGAGGGTTCCACGAGGACCGGCTCAAACCAAAGGCAGAATGAAAGGACAACGTGTTGAATGGTGCCCTTTAGGATGCCACCCCTCACTCGTGGACGTGGAGAGATCCCTCCACGTCCACGGGTTCCCGTCCCAGAGAGTCCCAGGTTCAACATCCGTGGCACGTGGGAAGTGTGGGCTCCCAACCATGCAGAGGAGGAAACAATACCATTACCCGTGCATGTTCCTTCTCCTCGCCTTTTTGGGCCTCCTGGGAGGCCATCGTCGCCACCGCTGGATTCGCTTCGAAATTCTGGTCAGAGCGCACCCTGGGAGAGGTTCTGGGAGCAGCGGTATTGGTACCTCTTGATGTCCTCAACCATGCTCCCAAGGTCTCTGGAACAGTCCAACGACGATTTCCGCAAGCGCCTGGCAACATTCGAGACTCGTGCGTTTGGGGTGCGTAGAGCTTTTTTTGCAGCATTTAATTTTCAGGGCTCTAAGAGACTAGGTGACCCTGCACTCAAGGCTTGCCGCGCAGCTGTGAATTTGTGCATCATGAAGTACAGCCCTATTTCCATGAGCGCAGAATTGCGCGTTTCAGCGTGTCGCGGAACCCTGGACCGCACCCCAACGTATTAAGTGCCTTCCTACTGCATGTTTCACACTACTTCTGACAGGCGTTCACTCACAATCTCGCACGACCGCCTTGCGTGCTTATGTATCCGATCTGATCGCTTTCGCATCTGATCTGGAATCGTGCATCAAGTGCCGCTGATCCGATGCGACCAGACGCTTGCACCTTGTATGCCGTTGTTGTGCATCCCGGTGCAGCCGATGCGATTCGATTTCAATTCCGTGCTTATGCGGCCCGATTCGACGCACAATGCGATTCGATCCGATTTTTCGGTTCGATGCTGGCTGATCCTGCTTGGCCGGCGCCGCCTTGCGCTCCTGGAGCCGTCCTCGGGGATCATAGGGGAGTCCTTCGTCCTCCCCCTCCTCCTCCTTCTCTCCCTCATCCTCCTCACCGTCCTCCTCTCCCTCCTCCTCCTTCTCCTCCTCCTCCTCCTCCTCCTTCTCCTCCTCCTCCTCCTCCTCCTCCTCCTCCTCCTCCTCCTCCTCCGCCCTCTCCTCCTCCTTCTCCTCCTCCTCCTCCTCCTCCCTCCTGAGCCCTCTTCTCCTGTGGCCTCCTCCTCCTCCGAACTGCAGCCCTTTTCTCCTGCACCCACGAGGTCATACGCTGGGTCTCCAGGCTTGTCGGTTTCAGGCGTTGGGGAATTCTTATTGCAATCACGGCGGTCCTTTCTGGTTCTTCTTGCGTTCGGGGGAGGCTCGGAGCCCAAATTTTCTTTGAGAACCCCTTCCTTTCTCATGGCCCAAACTACTTATCCCGACCCGCGCTTACGCTTATGGGATAAGCGTAGGAGAGATCGACGGTGCCACCCCCAGGCGCCACCCATTCCTTGCGGTAAGATACATCGCGGGATCGCCCCCCGAGTCCGTGGGGCGTTCGTCGAATTGGCTCGAGGAGCCTTCAATCAAGAGGGCCGAAGCGGGAACAGAGCGAATGGGGGCGATGATCGATGATTGATAGCGTGTCTGGACATGAGCCGCTGTCGGTCTCAAGGCGATCGCAGTCCACTTATAGACGTATGACGAACATCGTCTGCCCAACAGCGGTCGCTGACCATTTCGACCGTGCGAAGGCCAACACACTTCACGTTGCATCCGTGCCGCATGGCCATTTGGAACATCTTGTCACCACTGATTCTTCGTGGGCCATGTATAGAAGGGCATGCTATCTTGCTGTGTTCTCAGTTGACCCATGAGTGTTGCCCCGGGCACCTGAGGGAAGGGAGCTGAGAGCTTGTCAGGAAGCCTTCGAGGACTTCGGCATGCTCGCCGACGGCTATTGCTTGGAAGGGGGAGCATGCTGGGTGGGTTTGCTTGAGGGTTTGCGCTTAGTATGGCGACGTATGCTCAGTCACTGTTTCGCGCAGCAAGGCGCGGGCATGTGTTTTTGAGGCGGGATATGTTGAAATTCCTCGGAGGAGGTGTTTGCAAGACCTCATTGGGCGGGATATCTGGGAATGGGAATAACGGACCCCGCTATAGAACAATAATCCCCCATGATGGGGATGGTTATCATGATGATCTCATGCTTCGTGTGGAAGCATCGCGCATGATGGTACAATGATTATGGTTGTCGTTGTTGTTGTTGCTTATGTTGCTGCTGTTGATTGCTGAAGTCTCATTCTCGAAGAGTGTTTATGTTTATTGTCGTTGTTGTTGCTTCTGCTGCTGCTGTTGCTTGCTGAAGTATCATTCTCGAAGAGTGGTTATGTTTGACCCACCAACCAGTGCACTATGCTTTTCAATTTAAGTGCCCCCCTCGGGGCTCGCACTCTGTCTTTTCCGTATCGGGGAAAGTCTTCCTCCTCAAACTGCATCGATGTCCTCCCAGCTACAACAACAACTGCTCCCGCATGATGCTTCGCACAATGCTAAAATCGAGCTCTCGCGCGGGAATCCTCACAGTGACTGCAGGAATCGCTCTCTCGCGTGGGACTTCCTCTGGATTTATTAAGACGCCACACCCTCGACACTCAGGAATCACTTTCTCGCTTTGAATTTCCAAGCGATTTAGGAATCGCGTTGTCGCTTGAGACTCCCTCGCGAGTCATGCAGGACTCACGCTTCAGCAACCCGCCTGCTCGACGTGTCCGCCTGGGCCCGCCTTTTCGACCCACCCGTTAGTGTCTGCACGTCCCATGTGCCCGTCCGGTTCTACCACGTGTTTTCTGCTCCTAGCCCCCCTCCCGCTAATTTCTCACGTGCTCCATCCGTCTCCCTCACCCTTCCATCCGTCTTCTCTTCCACTGTATGCACGTGGCAGGTAGGGAGGATATGGCCCAAAGGGGGTACGAACGAAGACGACGAGGGCCCGTACCGAGGGTTCGGGATATATGTTTGCAAATATATGTATGTGTGTAGAATGACACGCGAGCAGATCGGAGCGAACAGTCTTAACATCGTTGCTGTTGTTGGTGGTGTTGGTGTTGGTGTTGGCGTTGGTGTTGTTGCTGCTCCTGCTGCTGTTGTTTTGATTTCAACTGAAATGCCCCCCTCCGTGCTCGCACACTGCTTTTTCGGTAAACCAAGAATCATGGAAAGTCAGCTGTCACCAAACTGCGTTGTTGGCGTCCGGTTTACAACAACGGTTCTTGCCTGATATGTCACCACATTTCATTTCACAATCGCATTCTCGCGCGTGCTCTCCTCACAAGTTATGCAGGAATCGCGCTCTCGCGTGGGAATTCCTTGCAATTTAATTGGACGTTGCGCCCTCGACTCTCAGGAGTTACGCTCTCGCTCTGGTCTCTCTTACGATTTGCGTGGGAATCGCGCTATCGTTCGAGCTTTCCTCAACACGCTTTCTCGACCTGGCCGCTTGGGCCCGCCTTCCCGACCCGCTCGTTAGGGTCTACCCGCCCGATGGGCCCGTCTGGTTCTACCACGCATTTTCTGCCCCTAGCCCCTTCCTGCTAATCCTGTGTTGCATCCTTCTCCCTCCTTCCACCCGTCCTCTCTTCCCCTGTTTCAGGGGCTGCGCTAATTACGCGCGGCAGGTAAGGACTACAACTTCCCAGGCGAGTGCGATCGAAGACGAAGATGGCGGGTACCGAGGGTTCGGGACATACGTGTTGAATGGCATGCGAGCAGGTAGGAGCAACCAGTCTTATAATGGTTGGTGTTGTTGGTGTTTGTTGTTATTGCTGTTGTTGATGTTGTTGTTGTTGTTGGTGTTGTTGTTGTTGGTGTTGCTGCTCTCTCCCCTCTCTCTATCCCTCTATTCCGTTTCTCTCTTTCTTCCTTTCTCCCCTCTCTTTGTGTGTGTGTTCTTTCTGGTCACACCTCAGAACATGCTCATATTCATGCACACTCGGATACAGTCACATTCAGATTCAGCACAGTCATTCCACTCATACTCCGATTCACTAACACCTAGGTACACACGATACACAGATCACACAGAACTTTCACTCAGACCCACTGGCACTCGGACTCGCGACTCGCACACACTCAGACTCACTCAAGTCATAGTCAGCTTCGGACACGCATCATTGATACTGTCATAACCCCATGTTCATCGCGATTTAACTGGCGCGGCACTTGAGCATCCCAACAGGAACCGCGAGGTTTTGGGACCTTTCCCCGTTCGCGCCCACATGTGGGGATGTATCAGGTGGTTCGCCCGTTTGGTTGATTGGATTTCTCTCATTTCAAAGCGCCATGCCAATCGCGATGTAGCAGACATGGATTTGAGCACCCCAAGGAGGTGCCGTCGGGGATGGGCACATTTGCCCGTTCAAGCGGTTTGCCTGTTTAGTGGCTTGGACTTCTGTTCGTTCAGAGCAGGTTGTAAGGACGTCTCGAGCGAGGCCCTGCTTTCAGCACCCCAAAAGAAAGCCGCCAGGGAGGCGGACACTCGCCTGTTCGCACGGCTTGCCTGTTTGGTGGTTTGGACGTCGGCGTTGTCAACACAGCTTGTGAGGATGTCTCGATTGAGGCGCTGGCTTCAGCAACCCAGTCGGCCAGATCGCGGGGATGCATCGAACGAGGCGCTTGTTTTTGCACCATCGATTCCTGTCCATTCAGAGCTCCCTGATCACTTGAGTAGGGCCGAGTGTCAGAGAGCGCCTTCCTCTGCAGGACCACCAAAAAAGTGACTTCAAGGTGGTCAAACGCCTCACCGGTTGAGCCGACGAAGATGTGCAAGGTACAGCCATTCGCCTGTGTCCAAGATTTTGGCTTGACGCCGGGTGTGGTGCATCAATTTCAGCTTGACCGAACAGGTTGGTTGCGCACCATGACCGTTTGGGGTGTTCCGCAGACCTGACCCCCCAGCCCTCTTCAACTGATCACTTCGATGTAGGGAGAAGGGCATCCGCCAGGACGGATGGGGGAGGACGGAGTAGGAATGAGGAGAACGCAGTAAGAGGAAACAAGGAGAAGGGAGGAAGAGAAAGGAGGGAGTACGACGAGTAGTACGAGGAAGGGGAGGGGAGTGGGCTTGATCACTGCCTGTCTGTCTGTGAGTTGTCATCGTCGCCGTCACTTGTCGTAGCCGCTGGCGCCGTCGGTGTCGTCGTACTCGTAGTTCATCCGGATTCGCTCTCACACCCAGACGCTCACGGCCGCACACTCACAGGGAGACGTGCCAGGAAATGCGATGCAGATGTGGGGGCCTCCGCGTCGAGCACTCGTCGCCACGCCGGCTATTTGCCTGGCATCGCCCGGACGTTTGCAGTTTTTCTCGGCGAGAACCATCGAGGACCATCCTGGACCATCGGGCAAACAACAAAAAACGCGCACGAGGCCGAAGCGTGCACGGGAAGTGGACGCCCGAGCGACGGCAAGCGTTAGGGCCTTCCCCGGAGGCCGCGCGGCTTCGTGGACGCGCGGGCGGGCCGCCCCGCGGCCCGCGAGGGGCCCCCAGAGGCCGGAGCCAAGGAACGCGCACCGGGATTGTCCGCCCGAGGTGGATGGGCCTGCTCCTCCCCCTCCCTCCCTCCCTCCTCCTCCTCCTCCTCCTCCTCCCTCCTCCTCCTCCTCCTCCTCCTCCTCCTCCTCTTCCTCCTCGTCTTCCTCCTCCTCCTCCTCCTTGCCTCCTCCTCCTCCTCCTCCTCCTCCTCCTCTTCCTCCTCCTCCTCCTCCTCCTCCTCCTCCTCCTCCTTGCCTCCTCCTCCTCCTCCTCCTTGCCTCCTCCTCCTCCTCCTCCTCCTCCTCCTCCTCCTTGCCTCCTGTCTCGCCCTGCCTGTGGCCCTCGGCCGTGGAAAAGATGGCGCTGTACAGGCCGGTGGGGGCGCCCGCGCCTCCCCTCCTCACGCCTCGCTGTGCGCTGCCCCTGAGGCGCGAGCGTCTCCGGGGGGCGTCCCGACTCATGGTGCGGAGGAGGAGGAGGAGGAGGAAGAGGAAGAGGAAGGAGAAGTGGGGGAGGGCGGGTGAGGATTTTGACGATCGAAATTTGCACGGAAAGATGGGGTGCGAAGACCGACAGCAGTGCCCATCCATCCAGGAGTCGTCGTCGGCGTCGCCGCGGACGCTGTTCGTGGGAGACAGAAGGCCGCCTGCCCAAAAGCGGGCGCTGTCGGTTTTGGGCAGCATCTGTTGTTGGGCATCGTGCCCATTTGTCCCAACCCTCCAGTTTGCGCAATGCGCAATTGTTGCCACTGTCGTGGGCCCCTGGAAGGCCCAGCGGAGCAGAATGTCCCTACATCTTGCTCTTTGGTGTGGAGCGTTCCTTTAGATAGTCGGCTCCCGTTGAGAGGAGGTTGAGCACGTCCCGTTTTCGGTTCGCGAGAGGCGTCGCGGCCGCCATTGTTGCGGGTCCAGGCCCATCGGATTCGGTCCTATAGGCCGTTTTCACTAAAGGGTGGCTTGCTAAAAGGGAGGTTTGCCCACGGCCGAATGCAAAAGATGGAGACCCCTCACGCACTTGGTGGCCCCATGGGCGGGAGGGAGGGAGGAGAGGGAGGAGGGAGGAGGGAGGAGGGAGGAGGGAGGGAGGGAGGGAGGGAGGGAGGTTTGCCCACCGCCGAAGATCGGCGGCGAGCTCGGGGGGTGAAGTGAGAAGGGGCGTGCTTTCTCAGCAGGCTCGGAAGTCCACGGGCCTTCCGAGAAGTCAGTCTTCGAGGCCTTCCCCGAAAACTCGAACAACATTTCAGGACTCGGAAAGGGCTTCTGAGAAGTCCACAGGCCTTCTGAGAAGTCAGTCTTCGAGGCCTTCCCCCGAGGGCTCGAACAACATTTCAGGAGGCGGGAAGGGCTTCTGAGAAGTCCCTCCGCCTTTTGCGAAGGCCTTCTCCTTCTCACTTCTCGGGGGCGGCCCAGACTGGGGGTTATGACTAGGTTGGGTGAATATCATGGCGGGGGCCATGATGTCTCCCCCGATTTCATGGCGGCCCTTATTATTTCAATGCGTCCCCCGCCCCCCCTCCCTGGGACGCGCACATGCCGCCGGCATGATTTGCGCCCCCCCCCCCCTCGTGGACGCTCCCCTTCTGGAAGCCCCCGAACCTTGGGGCAGTCTTGGGCGACCTCGTTGACTGGGGGCCGTCTCGAAGCGATCGTGGGACATCCTGGGCGCAGAACGTGGGGACAAGCGCTACACCTTGAAAGCGCTGAGCCTTTCCAATGTTCTCTGCTCTTTCGGGGTCGCCTCGGGGCGCTCCTGAGCCATCTCGGAGGCGTCCTGGGGCCGTCCACTGGCCGTCCCGGGCTCCTGGCGCCTGCCTCCTTCGGAGCCTCTCGGGGCCGTCTTCGGGGCCTCCTGGACGCCCCCCTCTCGGCCGCGGAGCTCCATCCCCCCCTTTTCGTCTCGCCGCTGCACAAGGAAGCTCGCCCGCGCTGGCCGGGCCGCGCAGAGGCGCGGAGGGGCAGCGCCGGGAGTCGGAGGGCACCAGCGCCACACCCGCACCGGTCCTGGCCAGGCCAAATCCTGGGCCCAGGATCGGTGAATGTATGTATACATGCATTTGCATATGCACGTATATATACATAAATACACATATTTACACATATATGTGTAATTATGTATGTATGTCTGTCTGTCTGTCTGTCTGTCTGTCTGTCTGTCTGTCTGTCTGTCTGTCTGTCTGTCTGTCTGTCTGTATGTATGCATGCATGCATGCATGCATGCATGCATGCATGCATGCATGCATGCATGCATGCATATATATATATATATATATATATATATAATATATATATATATGTATATATGTATATGTGCATGCATTTCTATATACACATATATATATATATATATACAGATGCCTTCCTGCCCCAGGCAGGAGGGCGTATGCCACGCTCCTGGGCCCAGGGCGAGCCTGGCCAGGGCCGGTGTGGGTGTGCGTGGTTGGTGCCCCCCCCAGGGCCGGGGGGGCAGGAGCCGCCCTCCCCGTGCCTGTCCGGCAAGGCCCCCGCCCCCTCCGCGCCCGCGCGCGGGCCTGCCGCCGCCGGCCCGGGGACCGGGCCAGACGAGAGGGGGGAATCGGGATAGGGGTCTCCTCCTCCTCCTCCTCCTCCTCCTCCTCCTCCTCTGGCACGCCCCACGTGGCGGTCCGGCGGCCTGCTCGAGGCCGAGGGGCACGCGCCGCCGGCGGCCTGCTGGGCGCCCCAGCCCAGCAACGCACGCGATCTGTGTTTCTGGGGCGACGGAGGAGGAGGCAATGCTCGTAGGGCAAGAGCAAATCTAAGCAGCCCAATCGTTGGTAAGAGCGAGCCTGAGGTCCGAACTTGTCGCGAACGGGTGTCCCTGTGCGGTTGCAAGAAGTGTCCCTCCAAGCGACCTCCAACCTTGTGTGGTGTCCACGAAGTGTCCTTGGAACATTTCTGGCGGAGTCTTGTCTTGTTATATCACATCGGGCCTGTGTTCTAAGGATATTGTTTTTGTTCTCAGCACAGCTTCGGGCTTCAATCACACTTCGTGGTCGGACTATAGGAATGCCGGGACGGTCGGTCCCTGCTCAAGAAATGGGGGGTTACGAAATCTGCTGCATGCAGCTGGTTTCGGCCCCACCGAGGGGCCGATTCCTCGATGCATGGCCGCCTCCGGCGCCGGGAGGCGCCGGGGAAATCAGCTGCGTGAGCTGATTCTCAATTCCCCCCCTTTGCTATCCCCCCCTTTCGCCTGGCCCGAGAGAAGTTACATGTGGTTCCAAAGTTACCCAGTGGCAAAGCGTCCTGGCACGCCGACAGGCCCACAAACCAATGTTCTAAAAACCTGCTGATATGGCCTGCACGAACTGTTCTTAGAGCATTTCTGGCTGGGCCTGTCGTGTTTTAACGCATCGGGCTTATATTTTGAGAAAACTGTTTGAGTTCTTGGAAAATTGCTGGGTTCTAAAAATATTTCGTTGTTGGCCTACAGGATTGCTGGGGCGGTCGGTCCCTGCTCAGCAAAGGGGACCCAAGGGAAAGGGATTTTTGTCTCGAGTACGCTCGGCTTGGCCCGCAGGGTCGTCGCACGACGAACTCACTCGCACCTCGAAGTCTCGGGTGCAACGCCGCGGTCTCAGAAGTCCCTTCTGCTGGCGCCCCCTTTTTAAGGAAACGCATTCGGGTTTGGGGGAGGGTCCGCCACGCTCGAAGAAGACACAACGCCATGAACAGAAACTTCTGGCGCTCCGTGCGGGTCTCTTGGACCCGCGCTGTGCCCCCCCGGCGGCGCCTCCGGCGCCACCCCTGGCACGCTCCGCGCTCTGGGGGGGGGATTCCAGCGCGGAGCGCCAAAAGTCTCTGTTCATGGCGTTGTTTCTTCCTCTGTTGCTGCCGCCTGCCCGAGGGGTTCTGGGGAGGGTCTGCCTCAGGACGAGAAAAAACACACAGACACAATTAATCGTCGATTCCCAGAAAAATATGGTAAAATATGAGAATTGGGGGGAAGACAGAAGCCCAGAAAATATGTGAAAATATTTGGGATAGTTTTATTTGTGTGTATTTATTTGTGTGTCCCAGGGCCACTTCACTGCCACGCGCAGAACGGGGCGCCCATGTATCGGCGACGCCTCGGCGACGCATCGGCACCGTCGGCGAGGCATCGGTGCCCATGCCGCTGTCCTGGCCTTGATGTCCCCTCTTGGGGCCTCCTGGGAGGCCTTCGTCGCCACTTCTGGGTTCGCCTCGGCATTCTGGTCAGAACGCGCCCCGGGGTAGGTCAGAACCTACCCTCCCCCCACCACCCCCGACGTCGCGACTTTTCCCAACGGCGGCCCTGGATGTGTGAACCTCTTCCCCGGGATCAGCTATATCCGGTTTTATTATCCTGAGCTGTGTGTTCGCTCCAGAAGACCAATGAGATTGTGAAGCCTGAGAACGGCCGAACAAAAAAGAACTGGGGTGTAGCGGTATTGGTACCTGTTGGCTGCCCCAGTCTGGGCCTCCCCGATGGGGGCCGAGTAGATGGGGTCCGAGGATCGCGCCGCATCGCCGATGCCTCGGCGATGCGGCTCGATGGGGTGCTCGATTTTCTATACGCCGACGTCGCCGATGCATCGTCGACGTTGCCGATGCGGCCCGATGCATCGCCGATGTATCGTCGGCGATGCTGTGTAACCATCCGACCCCAGGTGCTCGGGTTGTAACAGGCTGAGGGGGCGCGAACGGTCCTTTATCCTAAGTTCGGAAACATGTAAGGCCAATGTTTTTACACAGTTCAAGTTCAACGGTGCTGGAAAACTGAAGTTCCGAAACAGTTCGGAAACAATTCGGTGGCGAGACACAAGTTCGGAAAACGTTCGGCGGCGAGAAACAAGTTCTGAAAAAGTTCGGATAGCGCTCGGCGGCTAGGAAACACGCTAGGAAGCTGTTCCAACGTTCAGACAACAGTTTGCCAATATTTACCAGTTCAGAAGCAGTTGAGCACACACACACACATAACAAACAAGTTATATCAACTAACCAGTTCCCGGCAAAGCAACCTAACAGCGATGTGTAGGAGCATATCTGGAAGCATTCCCCTTGAGATTCAGATGATAATCCAGTTGTAGAATTCTGCAGTTCTCGCAGTCGTAGTCGCATTCGCGATGACAGTCGCAGTGGCAACGGCAGTCGCAGTCACAGCCTCAGCCGCAGCCTGCCTCAGCCTCAGCCTCAGCCAGCCTCAGCCTCAGCCTGCATCAGCCTCAGCCTCAGCCTGCCTCTGCCAGCCTCTGCTTCTCAGCCTCAGTCTGCCGTCGGCCTCAGGCCTCAGCCTCAGCTGCCTCAGCCTCAGCCTGCATCAGCCTCAGCCTCAGCCTCAGCCTGCCTCAGCATCAGCCTGCCTCAGCCTCAGCCTCAGCCTGCCTCAGCCTCAGCCTCAGCCTGCTTCAGCCTCAGCCTCAGTCTGCCTTCAGCCTCGGCCTCAGCCTCAGCCTGCCTCAGCCTCACCCTGCATCAGCCTCAGCCTCAGCCTCATCCTGCCTCAGCATCAGCCTGCCTCAGCCTCAGCCTCAGCCTCATCTGCCTCAGCCTCAGCCTGCTTCAGCCTCAGCCTCAGTCTGCCTCAGCCTCGGCCTCAGCCTCAGCCTGCCTCAGCCTCAGCCTGCATGAGCGTCAGCCTCAGCCTCAGCCTGCCTCAGCCTCAGCCTGCCTCAGCCTCAGCCTCAGCCTGCCTCAGCCTCAGCCTCAGCCTGCTTCAGCCTCAGCCTCAGTCTGCCTTCAGCCTCGGCCTCAGCCGCAGCTGCCTCAGCCTCAGCCTGCATCAGCCTCAGCCTCAGCCTCAGCCTGCCTCAGCATCAGCCTGCCTCAGCCTCAGCCTCAGCCTGCCTCAGCCTCAGCCTCAGCCTGCTTCAGCCTCAGCCTCAGTCTGCCTTCAGCCTCGGCCTCAGCCTCAGCCTGCCTCAGCCTCAGCCTGCATCAGCCTCAGCCTCAGCCTCAGCCTGCCTCAGCATCAGCCTGCCTCAGCCTCAGCCTCAGCCTGCCTGCAGCCTCAGCCTCAGCCTGCTTCAGCCTCAGCCTCAGTCTGCCTTCAGCCTCGGCCTCGGCCTCAGCCTGCCTCAGCCTCAGCCTGCCTCAGCCTCAGCCTCAGCCTGCCTCAGCCTCAGCCTCAGCCTCAGCCTCAGCCTGCCAGCCTCAGCATCAGTCTGCCTTCAGCCTCGCCTTAGCCTCAGCCTCAGCCTGCCTCAGCCTCAGCCTCAGCCTCAGCCTGCCTCAGCATCAGCCTGCCTCAGCCTCAGCCTCAGCCGGCCTCAGCCTCAGCCTCAGCCTGCTTCAGCCTCAGCCTCAGTCTGCCTTCAGCCTCGGCCTCAGCCTCACCCTGCCTCAGCCTCAGCCTGCCTCAGCCTCAGCATCAGCCTGCCTCAGCATTCAAAATGTGGCCCGGGAATGGAGTTTTGGGAACTCGAAGAACACGAAGTGGCCTACAGTTGGCTCTGGGCATTCAAAATCATGCCCAGGAATGGAGTTCTGGGAACTCGAAAAACACGAAGTGGCCTACAGTTGGCTCCGGGCATTCCAAATCATGCCCAGGAATGAAGTTCTGGGAACTCGAAGACCACGAAGTGCGTTACTGTTGGCTAAAACAAATGCCCAGCATCCTCCCCTGGATCGCGCCCAGACCCCCCTGGGGCGTCAAGATGCTCTCTTTTGATCCTACTAGAACCTATCAGTCTTCGCTGTTAGGTGAAGAACAGTTCAAACAAACAATATCCCGGCAAAGCAACCTAACAGCGATGTGTAGGAGCATATCTGGAAGCATTCCCCTCACGATTCAGATGATAATCCAGTTGTAGAATTCTGCTGTTCTCGCAGTCGTAGTCGCATTCGCGATGGCAGTCGCAGTGGCAACGGCAGTCGCAGTCACAGCGTCAGCCTCAGCCTGCCTCAGCCTCAGCCTCAGCCTGCCTCAGCAAAAGCCTGCCTCAGCCTCAGCCTCCGCCTGCCTCAGCCTCAACATCAGTCTGCCTTCAGCCTCGGCCTCAGCCTCAGCCTGCCTCAGCCTCACACTGCATCAGCCTCAGCCTCAGCCTCAGCCTGCCTCAGCATCAGCCTGCCTCAGCCTCAGCCTCAGCCTGCATCTGCCTCAGCCTTAGCCTGCTTCAGCCTCAGCCTCAGTCTGCCGTCGGCCTCGGCCTCAGCCTCAGCCTGCCTCAGCCTCAGCCTGCATCAGCCTCAGCCTCAGCCTCAGCCTGCCTCAGCATCAGCCTGCCTCAGCCTCAGCCTGCCTCTGCCTCAGCCTCAGCCTGCTTCAGCCTCATCCTCAGTCTGCCTTCAGCCTCGGCCTCAGCCTCAGCCTGCCTCAGCCTCAGCCTGCATCAGCCTCAGCCTCAGCCTCAGCCTGCCTCAGCATCAGCCTGCCTCAGCCTCAGCCTCAGCCTGCCTCAGCCTCAGCCTCAGCCTGCCTTCAGCCTCGGCCTCCGCCTCAGCCTGCCTCAGCCTCAGCCTGCATCAGCCTCAGCCTCAGCCTCAGCCTGCCTCAGCATCAGCCTGCCTCAGCCT